TTGTTTTCTAACAAGACCTTTGCTCTCCGCAGATGTGAGAAATTGCAGCTATGACCCCACTTTCTCTGCCTCCTTCTGCTGTATTCCAGACCTTGGAGAAGAGATGAGGATCTTCTCACCCCTGCAGGGAAGCTCTGCTCTGCTCTGTAGTTAGGGTTCAGATCAGATCTTCATCTCAAACTGGTCCCTGCTGTTCAGCACAGAGCCCAGAAATGCCTGTTGTGAGGGCCTTCAGGGAATCTTTTAAAACTGCTTGCATGTCCTTGCTATGTCTCTTGCGGTTGTGTTGTCCTTCTAGTAGAGGCAGAGGAGCTGCTTCCCCTGTTTATGCCAGCAGCACGGAGCTGTGAAGCAAATGGATGTATTTTACTCTTTTATTTAGAGCGCTGTGTATTTTTTAATGAGGTGGTAGTGCTTCCAGTGGTAGGGCTGCACAGCTTAACTGGCAAAAGCCATGAAGGAAACATTGCTCGGCCTTGAGAGGCTTGTGCTGATTGCCTGCTGCATCCTAGTGAGCAGAGCTCTCTGTAGCCCTACTCCAGTACCTTCAGAAAAAAATCTCCTTAATGCTTCCTTCTTGGAAGAGACAGGAGAACATCCACAAGATCCCAGGTCTAGGTCTTTGCTCAGATGGGAGGACCTAGCCCCCAGCTCCAGCTGCTTCTCAAGTTAGGGATGTGCTGCCCATGGGCACGGTGTCACAGAAGTGACTCAGGACATTCCGCAGCCAAGGAGGAAACAGGCCCCAAGGGCAGATTTACGAAGCTTTTCTGAAGTTGAGTCATGATCATGAGATCCCTCCTCCGTTAAGGAAATGAAGGAGGCCGTGGTCTCGGAGCCCAGGTTAGAACGGGACTTTTGGTGCTCCTGTCACGCAGTCAGGAGCTCCGATTAATTTAATTATGGAGCTCTTCAAAATGCTTTTTTTTTTTTTTTTTATTTATTTTTAGGGGGAGGTGCAATTTTTTCCAATAAGAAGGCCTACTGTGCTGCCAAAATGTTGGTATATTTCCCCCCATTTTCTCCCATCCCCTTCACCAGCTGCTGTTTGACGCTGTTGTGAAAATGATGCCCCCTCCAAGCAGCAGTTTCCCTGAAATGGCGAAGAATTGTGCTGTCACCACTCCCTGCTGGAGGAGCTGAGGCTGCAAGACAAACTTCGGGTTTATGGGGCTGAAAGTCCACGCCATATGTGTGCACCTTGGTGTGCTGCCAGGGGCATTTTCAGGAAGGGACAACACACGCAGGGACCCTACAATCACGGAATAGTTGCTGTAGGAAAGGACCGACTCCGTGGGTCACGCTGCCTTGATAGCTGAGATCTGCCAGCTGTTCCCATAGCTGTTCCCACAGCCCTGCTGTTCTCACGAATTTGGGAGATTTTCTCCTGCTGAGGAACTACGTCTTGTCCCCGTAGGACAGGCTGTGCTCACAGGGGCTGGGATGTGGCCTTGGGCTTTGCCAGGGCTTGGAGCCGTTTCTGTACACAGGTCTGTACCCCGATGAGCATGGAGGCTGTCACTTCTGTCTCTAATCCCCTCTTATTCTGAGAGCGCCCCTGGAGATGCCCTCTGAGGATTTCTTCTGGGTCACACAGGGACTTTCCAGCACTGGAGTGAGACCCTTTCCAGGTGCTGCACCAACCACCCCTCTCAGACTATCTCTGTGTGCTGCCTTGTTTGGATGCAAAGGAATGGTTTGAGCAACAAGGTGCAGCTCTCCTGGTGGTAGCTCCAAATGTCCTTCATCCTTCCTAGAACATTTTCAGCTCCAGAATAATCTCAGGCCAACAAAGCACAATAATGTTTTCAGCTTCCCACCATGTTCACTTTCACTCTGGCTGTTTATTTATTTCTGGCATACCTTTCCCACATTGACTCCTTCCTGGGCAGTACCTCTTGGATCTCACCCCATTTCTACAGTAACGTGAGGCCCTGTGGGTGATTCTGGAGCTCTGCTTTAGCTTGTAGACAGCATTTTTGACATGGACGTCCCCCTGAACGTTGAATTGTCTCACCAGCCATGGGGTATACATTTTCTGCATCTTGGAATTTCACTGCCTGACCTTGGTCTGCAAATGCATCATCTAAATCTCCTGCTGCTGGGAGCGCGTCACTCCTTAAGTAATATGTTTCGGGATTTTACATGCAAAGGTTCATGTTGGTCACAGATCTGTCTCTCTCTTCTGGTAAGGTTGCAGGCAGACCAATAGGTGGTGGCTTGTGTGGCTGGATGCTGAAACATCTCTGTTCAGGCACTTTCCCATTCTTGAAGAGGCACTTGGCAGCACACTCATCTTTTCTGCATTTTGTTTTCACCTGTTTGCCTGAATTTCATCCAAGGATCATCATTTGATCCTTATTTTGACTCTTGCTTATATGAATCCTAGGACTGTGAATAGAGATCTCTGCTGCAAGCTGTGTGGTTTCGGCTTGGTTTGGTGGTCCTTGCTTTTCTCCAGTCCATCCACCTGCTCAGAACAGGACTATTACCCACATTAGATAAAGGAGTACATTGTTTTTTATAACGAAGTCGTGAAAGGATTATCTCCAGGGGTGGAGTCTTCCATCACCACTTGAGAAACCTGTTGCAGAGCTCCCCTCCACACTCTTCACAGCCAAATTTTTCCTAACGTCCATATATTTGCTTAATTTGGGATCAGCTTCTTCCATCATTCCAGCCTACTGATGCTGCACTGATCCAGGCTGTTTTCCCCCATACTTTTATTTTAATGCTGAGCTTTCTGCTGTGGCTGCAATAGTGTTGAGAGGGTCACTATTCCTCTAGGACCATCTTTGTCAATTTTCTGGTATTCCCAGCCACATCTTGCCTTTCTGTCTCTGGCAGATTTGGAGGTCCTATGAAGCCCACTCCAGTGGCAGCAGAGACTTAGTTCTACAAACTGCAGTAGCAAAAGGCTTTTGTTTCCAAACCTGGGCAATTGTTCCCAAGGCACAGTCCAAACTTGAGCATTTAGCTCCTCTTGTTTCCTTTGTTCCTTGTTTGCCATCAAAACCTTACAGGCAGTCTGTGCAGGATCTCAGTATCTTGCTGTGTGTTCCTGCTCTCTGTCGGAATGACGGCCCAACCACGAATGTCTGTCTGTGCTTGGTGACTCTTTTCTGAGTTGAGATCATTGCTGCTGAGGAACCTCGTACCTCCAGACCACAAACTTGCTTCTACCTGAAGAGCAGTTTAGCTAGAAGTTCCCTGGAGCATGGCAGCTAATTTCCCTTTGGAAAGCTAATGTTCCTGCTATAAGAGGGACTTGCTACGTACAGAAAACCTGTTGATTTTTTTTCTCGGTGTGAGTAAACCAAACCACTAGACCTGTAATGAATGTGAAGGTGTTTGAAAACACTGCCCCTCTAGGGCTGTTCAAAGATCTTGACAGTTGCTAGATTTTTTTTAATGCTAGATCAGCTGTTTTTTTACCTGTGAACATCCCTTCTCCCGAGATTAGTTTTCCAGGATCACTGCTTTATTTTTTAAGTAATTTGCATTTACTTACCTTTTTTTTGGGCTGAAGGTAGCCCTCACTGTGCCAGACCCTTTGCACCTCATGTTTTCTGCACAAGAAATTTAATCAGCTACAAATACAGACTAATGCAGGTTTAATACAGGTAGAACATGCCAGGTTTCAGGTAGGGAACAAAAAGGACTGTAAAAGCTAACTACGATCTACCAGGACTGATTTTTTTTTTTTTTCCCAGGTGTGAGTATTTGGCCAAGGTGGGGTTGGGTTGGCTGTGAGCTGTGCCAGTGGACGGGGAGGAGGCAGAGAACGGGACAGAACTGGTGTCCTAGCGCGATTCACAGACCAAATATTCCCGTGTAACATGGGATGCAGGCTCACGGGGTCTTGTGAAGCTCCAGTTTGACTGCCCAGGATCGAGCAGTACAGGCTCACAGCGTTTAACATGGTTCCTGTGAGGAAGCTGAGTGTCAGTTTGCAATACCGTGCCAGGTGCAAGGACACTTTGGTTTAGGATTGCTTGGGCCCCTACTTGTCAAGCGGTGAGGACTGGTGGTGATGCATCTGCCCTCCTGGCACTGAGTGCTTTCTTTCCTGCAGACACTCACCCACATGAGCAAGCAGTGTGAGTCTTGGTGTAACTCGAAAGCTGCTTGGCTGGGTTCCCTCTCAAACTGTAGTATCACCGATCCAGCACCACTGGTTAAGCTGTTTGCCAAATGCATGTTAAACAGACCGAAAATGGGCAAAAACAAGCCCTGCCCCAGCCTTCGCCCACATTCCTAGTTGATTGTGTGGGGCTCTCTTTCACCTGTAACTTGCTTGCCAGACCTGGGTTTCCTTTTCTCTGGGCAGCAGGAGCTTATCACTGCCCCCTCCGCTGCCTGGGTCTCGTGGAAAGAGCGCGAGTTAAGAGCCAGAATCACTCTTTGCTGACCAACACCGCCAGCTTCCTATTTAAAATCAGTCGTGCCAGCTTCATAGAGCTTCAGTGCTCTCTGTGGGAAGGGATTCTTGTGCTGAGTGTGCTTTGCGCATCTTGTTTAAACACCATTCAGAGTGCTGCCTGTGGTGCGGCTACACACCAGGTGCGCAGAATGTCATTGTCAGTGGGGAGGGAAACCAACAGGTGCCTGCCACCTTTCCTGTGATCTGTCAAACTTATTTTCTTCCCTTCATGCAAGCAAAATTTCGACTCCTTCTTGGTCCCAAACCACCTGAGGGCTAAATGAAGTATGCATCCAGACTGGCTCGTTCACTCCCCATCTCTCTCTCAGGCTTTCCTCGCCTGGGATGTTTTACCTTCCCTGCATCCTGGGTGCTGTGCTACCCGGGGTCATCTCCCCTTCAACCTGCTGCTGCCTGGCCCTGCCCCAGCGGTGTAGGGACGGCCTGGGGCTGGGGAGAGATCTCTTTTCTCTCCTCTCACCCACAGAGAGGAGCGAGGGGGTCACGCCAAAGGGGAAAAACACGTCCTGGGGGGGTCCCCTCCATCTCACGTCCCGCTGTCTCTCCGCCCCTACAGATGTCGTGGCACCCGCAGTACCGCAGCTCCAAGTTCCGCCACGTGTACGGCAAGGCCGCCAGCAAGGACAAGTGCTACGACTGCGTGCCCATCACCCACAGCGTCCATGACAACCACTTCTGCGCCGTCAACCCGCACTTCGTGGCGGTGGTGACCGAGTGCGCAGGCGGAGGGGCCTTCCTCGTCATCCCCATCCACCAGGTGAGCGCCGCCGGGGCGGGATGGCCTTCGTGGTGCTGGTGGGGGTCCGGGCTCTGCAGGGAGGTCGATCCCACAGGGGATATTCAGCCAGTGCTGCTCCTGGAGTTGCAAAATGCACGGAAGGGGCCCCAGATTGCCTGGCACGTGGGTACCTATGCGTCCTAGGTGGCTGCTCGCAGGTTCTCGGCACCTTCCTTCCTTTCGTACCCCGGTTGCCTGTCTTGTGTAATCAACGGGAGCTGTGCTGTTCAGATGTTTGTCTCCCAGGAAAGACTGCAAATCAAAAAGCAATTAGTAGATATGAAAGGTAAGAACTGAAAGGTGCTTTAGTGCCTTGGCTTCATCTGCCACCGGAGCAGAGCATGGTGTATTTTGCTCTAACTACCTTCTCCTTTGTGAAAGAATGGAGACACAGTTATGAGACAATGAAGCTCTTTAGCTTCAAACACTGATGCTGGAAAAACTTCCCTTTCGGAAACAAATCCCATGTTTGTGGGTTCTGATGACTTGGAGATCTGATGAGAGGGAGAAGCTGGCTGTTTGGCATTTATTGCTGCAGAAGAATTAGGCATGCACTAATGTGGATTAACTTTGGTATGAGATTATGGGCTCCCTGGAATCAGGGCAGAACAGATGAAAGGCAAAAGTTCAGCCTTTAATTAAAAGTTAATTGATGGTGTTATTGTAATGCCACTTTTTCAATATATATTTGCTAAGGATGAAAGTGAACTGGGTGTGCTTGAAGAGCCTAGTGCAGTTCCCGGCGCTTCTAGACTTTGTTTATTCAACTCATTAACCGCTGGTGCTGTTCAGAGACAGTCCTAAAATTAACCACTACCCTGTTTTTCTTGACTGAGTCACTTCTGCCCCCTCGACCACGATCTGTTGGGGCTGAAGAACTTGTCTTTATCACAGACCTGCATCTCTGAGCAGGCAGCTGGGACTGTGGGACATGGGGTGGGACCCAGCTCTCAAAGTGTTGGCAAAAAGAGCTCAAGATGCTTGCACGGCTTACTATTAATTCTTCTGTCTTGAAACCTCTTCTCAATTTAGCTCATCCTTAGTAGCAGTCCCTCTATTCTTAACACCTGTTTCAATGCTCCACCCAGGTCTGAAAGACTGCCTGCAGAAGTGAAAGGCACAGCAGAACTAGAAGAGATAACTAGAGAAGGATAATTAAAGTATGTCAATGAAAATGTGAAATTACTTTCATTTGAGGAGTTGAGACTTTGAAGGTTAGGCCTCCATTAGTCCTGGGAAAAAGGACAAATGAGCGAGACACATCAAACTGTGAACGGGGTGGGGGAAGAAGTGTAGGGAGAATTCCTGATTTGGGTAGTGAAGGGGAGGGACAGCAGCGATCAGATCGGCAGCAGGCATGGGTGGACGCTTCTGCAGTTCAACTGTGGAGCTCACAGCCCTGGATACCGAAGAGCCTGGAAGAATTAAGGGGTTCAAAACAGGACAGAGTTATGGACCTGTATGTGTTGTGCTTCTTCCAGCTGCTCTCCCAATACCTGTTTCTGACACAAGCTGTGGGGGAGAGTGGCCTCGGCCACCCACAGAAGGGGGTTCTCTGAGCCTGGGGGCTGTGGTACCAGTTACTTTTATTTCAAGCTATGCTTCTGAACTGGTGGCACCTGGTGAAGAGCAGCAGCTTTTGGCTTGTGCTCCCAGTGGTGGTATTTGTGGCTGCCAGCTCCTACAGCGGCGGTGACCCGCAGCACTCCGGGCTCTTGGCTTGTGCCCCTGGCTGCCAGGGAGACGAAGGCAGCCTGGTCTGGAGGCTTGTGTCTGGCATTGAATTGCCCTCTCATGACTGGTAGCCAATCTTTTTTTTTTTTTTTTTTGGCTGGATTTGCAGCTCTTGTCTCTGGTTTAATGGTGTCTCTTTTCTTCTCTCCTGCTGACTCATGGAAGCTGAGCTCTCTCGTCCCTTGAAGAAATCCCACTTCTTGCCTCCTGCACCATTCTTCCTCCCTTTCCCAGAGCTTGGCAGTAAGGCAGGGGTGGAGAGCAGCAGGGCTTAACAAAAGAAAGAGCTCTTAGCCACAGATACCCCATCCAGCACACCTAGAAACACATTGCCTACTACCTGAAGAGGAATGAGTTGAACATTTGCCACTGCTTGGAAAACAGTCTTCTGTTGCAGAACATATTGCTTAGATCCTGACGAAGATCAGTCAGGTCCTCGCTCAAGCTGGCTGGGTGGAACAGCTTTCCATCGCAGCAGGAAAGCAGCTGTGGGCACAGGGGCTGTCTGGGGCCTGGCACAGAGCGAGTGCCTTTGTAAATCTCACGAGTCCAGGGACACGCATGCCTTCCTTTTGCCTTCTCCCATGACCAGACCTGAGACAAAGAGGCAGCAGGATGCAAACAAAGTCCTGAGAGACAGGATGGGTGGGTTGCAGGGGGGTAGGTGAAGAGTGGGAGAAGCTTCAGGATGGGGCCCGGCATGGCATAGTGGCAGTTTGGCCGGGTGGCCTGGGAGCCTCCCAGACAGAGCAGACAGGCAGCCAGCTTTGGGAGGGGACGGAGCTCCCATAGGGATCAAGGGATCCCTGTGGAGCTGGCTGCCCAGCCCTCTGAGTTGTGAGCTTGAAACCAAGCCCTGAAGCCCGCAAAAGGACACCGTGGGTGGGGGAACTCTTATTAAAGGCCTTTTATCTCTTTTCTGCTGCCTTCCCAAGTCACTTTGTATTGTTGCTGTCATAAAACTGATTTGTTTTAAAGTGGAGTCTAAAAAAGCAGTCTTTTACATTTCAAAGCCTGCTGGGTGTTCAGTTTGAAGCAGGTTAGTCCCAGTCGATGAGACAAACTTTCTTGTGAAGCCAGAGTGGTTGCATGCTGTGTCCTGTTCTACACCAAAAAACGACCATTCAGCAGGACTTTGAGGCTGGGACATGGCAAATGACATGGCCACATCCAGGTTAGGATCAGCACTGATGCCCCTCCACTGCATGCTCTCAAGTCCACCTCCAGAGCGGTGTGGGGAGCACACCCACAGCAGCGTCTGCTTTTCAGAAGGGCATGCAGTTGCATTCATCTTGATTTATGATTTGGAAGAAATCCCTCACTCAGAGGGAGGTGAGGCCCTGGCACAGGCTGCCCGGAGGAGCTGTGGCTGCCCCATCCCTGGAGGTGCTCAAGGCCAGGCTGGATGGGGCTTTGGGCAGCCTGGGCTGGTGGGAGGTGTCCCTGCCCATGGCAGGGGGCTGGAACTGGGTGGGCTTTAAGGTCCCTTCCAGCCCAAACCATTCTGTGATTCTTCCAGCTGGGATAAAAGTGGGCAGGTAGGCATGACTGGCTTGCAACCATGTCTGCCTCCTCAGGTGAGCGACATTTGCTCTCGCACAGAAGTCTGCGTTCCTGGAGCACCTCCTGCTCCTCCTGCTTCTGACAGGAAGGAGCAAGTGTTGCTCTGATGTTAATCAAATCCCCAGCACCCTCTCTATCACGTAGTAGACAAATTGACATGACTGTAGCAGAGGCTGTCTGCAGCGTGGGTTTATCCTGATGCAACACAGCCCCCTTTCGGCACAAGCTCCTCAGCACTCAGTGTGCTGCTTCGTGCACGACAGCAGTGAGTATGCTGCCCAAACGTGGCTTATTCTGGGAGAGAGTCCTGAGTCTGATTTAATGCGGTGAATGGCTGGATTTGAAAGCCATCAGAGAGAAATGCATAGCTTGTTGAAGGAAAAACTGCGTTTGTAATTTGTGTTGTTGCTTAAAAAATAAATAAAATAAAATAAATAATAAAATAAAATAAAATAATAAAATAATAACATAAAATAAAATAAAACAAAATAAAATAATAAAATAAAATAAAAGCTAGTTGAAGAGGCTAAAAATGATCAGCAAAACCATTTTTCCTGCTTAACAGAAATTTATTCTCAAGGAACAGATAAGAGATTTTCTCTCCCCCCAAATCTTTAAGAAATGTGGAAGATTCAACTGATTCCTAAGTGTTTCCACTCTAAGTTTTATTCTGGTGTCTGAATCAAATAATAGCTTATGTAACCTCTGCTGTATGTGTACAGATTTCTCAGTAGCACTGTGAAGTCCTGCACAGCACCACGTTATTTTCCTGTCTGTGATATCGTCAGGATTTGCCTTACAGGGACAGCGAAACCCCATTCCCAACAGAAGGAGGCCACCCAGGGCATTTGGAGCATAACAATCAGAAAGAGGTTACTTGGTGGAGCTGGATGGGTCTTACTTGAAAATGTCCTGTAATTCCATGGCTCCCCTAAGGTTTCATGATATATATATACATATTTTTTTATTTTTTTCCAGACAGGGAAGCTCGACCCACATTATCCCAGAATATGTGGGCACAAAGGAAACGTTCTGGACATCAAGTGGAACCCATTCAATGACTTTGTAATAGCCTCGTGTTCAGAAGATGCCACTGTAAGTTTCCCAGCTTATACTCAATGTTATTGCCTGGCTAATGTGCTTTTGGGGGAAAGCAATAGGAAAAGAACCAAGAGGCCCAGGGATGAGATGTGAAAATGCATGTAATCTTCAAGAACAGCCATGTAAGATCCCTGTATTTCTCTATGTGATCCCTTCCAAATGATGTATCAAAATCATGATAGGAAGAAGATCTGTTTGTGTGTGGGCTTCCATCTTTAGAGGTTTGTTTGCGTGAGAAAGAAGTAAATGTAAAATTGGTTCAAGGTTAATCACTGTGAAACTCCTCCTTTACTGCAAAATAAAACTTTCAACGCAATGTAATCTGTGACAGCTGTTTCAGATCATTTCTCCACACAGCAAGTTTGAACTTGTTTCTCTCTGAGTTACTCTGTAAAGTCATGCTGGATCAGCTATGGGGTAGTTAAGGAGTCTGTGTCGTACTTTATTCCAACCACAGCATCAACGAAATGAGTATTTTCCAACTGAACACAGAGAAAGGCTCCAGGGATGCAAAGGGTAATGCTAATACAAACCTATAAAAAGGTATCAAATTCTTAAGTCAGGTTTATGTTTTATGCCAGTTGGGCTGAGATTGATGTAAATAAGATGCAGTCACACAGTTTAGCTCAGCGTAGGTGCAGTCTGGTTATTAGGAACTGGAAAATGCAATTAATTCGTGTAAGGGACAGTCTAGCCTATATCTGCCCACGGGAAAATTGCTTTCTGTGGCTTATCAAAAGCGCGGTGTTGGCTCTTATGACAGTAAGAACATCTAACTACTATGGTCTTTCTCAGAGATCCTGTGTGTATTTTCTCCCACTGGGTATATTTGCCCTTTGCCACACAGAATCAGGGAGGTTCCCTTTGTCATTTCCTCCAGCCCTGACTTGGTGGTTTATCTTCTGCCATTTCAGCTCTGTCAGAAACCTCTCTTGAGTTGGGAATATATGATCTTTGAATTTTCCTTCCCGTTTAGTGACTTTTCTTTGCCTTTTTTTTTTTTTTTTTTTAGGATCTTTGTGTCTTTTTTGACAATGTTTTTCAATTTCTGGGCTGCCTGGGGGGGTTATATTTTATCTTCCAACTGGAATGCCAGGTGTTCATGCTGTCTCAGAAAGGACTTGTGGCAGGAACGCACCACCACGACCTCTCTTTTAAGTCTCAGATGAGAAAAGAGCACAAGCTTCAAAGCTTCCTGCTGCAGTTGCAGAATATATTCAAATAACACAATTACAGAATCATTCAGGGTTAAAGGGAGCTTGGGAGCTTTAGTCTGTGGAGCTGAGTCTTGAAAACCTGCAAGGATGCAAACTTCACCACCTTTTCCGTTTTTTCTTATACGCAGCTAGAATCTTCCCAGTGTAGTTAATGGCCACCGTATCCAATCGTCCTACTCTGCACTTCAGTAGCATGCATGGCTCTATTTTCTCCGTTATCTTGTTAGTACCAAGGGCTTTTATCAGGTTCTTCTCAAGATGTCTTCTCCAAGCCATGCAAGCCCATCTCCCCTCCTCACAGGACAAGTGCTGTGGCCTCCTGAACATCCTGGTGGTTTCCACTGGACTCACTGAAGTTTATCAGTAACTTTCTTGTGCTAGGACATGCAAAAGTGGGTGCAGCACTCCAGTGGTTGTTTAAAGATTGCTGAGTAAAGTGAAAAATCATTTCCCTTGATCCAGGAGCTCTCTTCCTGTTTTTTCCAGACCATGATGTTGCTAGCTTTCACTGCTGCCAGGGCATGCTGCCAGGTCTTATTTATTCTCTTGTCTACCAGGACTCATTCCATGGAGTCAAGATCTGTCTTACCTGTCCTGTCCTGTCCTGCAGAGCTCAGACTGGATAGCTATTGGGACACCACTGCAGCAACACCTTCTCTGTCCTGACCCAATAAGTATGAGAAGTTTTAGGGTCCCAGAGATGCCCACCACTTCCATTGGGCTGGACATTTGAACCAAACCCTTCTTTCCTCTCTGTTGTTTAAGGCCTGGTGCTCCCTGCCATTTTTCAGCATCAGCATGAGGCACTGCTCTGGCTTGTGTGTGAGGATATATCTGATTGCTCCTACTGCACTGGTTTTCCCTGAAAATGTTGAGGTGGGCCACAAGCTTGTGTGAAGATGGTGAACGTTTCCCACCACCCATGTTCCTAAAAGGTTTCTTGGTCATTAGCCAGCCTTTCTGGAGCGTGCCATTGTGATAACACAACTAAATTTTGTGGCCTACAGCTGAAGCATGCAGAGTGGTGCTTTAGGGCATGGGAGGGGATGGACAGTCTGTAAATGTCCAGTGCCCTTCCCAGGTCCTACTGCTGCCTTGGACTGGGGCTAAGAAAAGTGGCCTGGGGCCGAGAGCTTGAGCTTAGAGCAGGAAGCAAGCTCATCCTCCTGCCTCTTCTGTTCCTTCTGGAAAATCATCAGGCATGTATGAATTCATCCTGATGAAGACCTTCTCCCCTGTGGTTGGAGAGTCAACTCCGTGTCCTTAACTTTGCTTTGTCAGGTTTCCTTCAAGATGCCGTGGAGCAGACTGCTGGTGAGCTAGGTTGCTCATGCTTGGCCTTGGCAGTTCTTGTTCCAAGACCTGCTTCTCCTACCCACTAAGGAATGAGAATTGCTGCCATTTCATGAACCCTGAAACTCCAGTCAGGGTCTTACCACCAAACATTTCATAGCATGGTTCGTTCTAGGCCGTTCTTCATAGTGTGGACACACACCATTTCCCTCTTCCCTCCTCTCTCAGCACCATTCATTTAGTGGTTATAGCTGTTGAAACTGTAGGGTGTGATGCTTCCTCTTGCTGCTGTGGAAGTTCATTAGAGGCTACAGGCCCCCACAGTCCTAACGTTTCTGAGGGACTTGATTCTTTAATGAGATAAGCACTGGTGAGAAGGAGGGTGCTTGTGATCCTTCCTAGCAGGTCCCTGAATTTGTGCCTCTCCTTCTTTGGTGTAGAATATTGTGATTCTCATCAGCCAAGCACTGGGAGACTCAGGCAGCTGTAGCTAATTTCCACCAGCTTTCTCATTCAAAGAGCATTTCCATCTGGCTTCAGGTTAAGTCCTAGAGAATTTCCCAGAAGTAGAATCACTTTCCTTGAGCCAAAGGGTTAATCTGTTGTCATCCTAAAGGCTTGTGCTTCTAAGATCAGTGTGAGAAAGACTCTTTCCTTTTACCTGCACAGGTTCAGCTGCTTTTGCAGGCCACCTCTATTGTCTCCTTCCACATCAAGAGGACAGAATTTATTCTTGTCTTCATGCAGCACCTTCCAGATGAATCCAGATGAATCCAGTAGTCCTGTCATGAGACAGCAAACTTCCCTTGTGTTATACTGCCCAGGCTGCTCAGGACATCCACCCTGTGGCCACCTGAGTGGGCTTCTGTGTCCTTTGACCGTGCTGTTTGCAAAATATTTAGCATTTGTGCAGTTTTCAGGGGACAAATAGTACTATAGTTATTATCTGACCGGGGCACTGTCAGTTCTTCTACCAGGTAGCACTGAGTGGATGGCTGCTTGCATCAGCCACTGCTATAATATTTTCTGGGACTCTTTGCTGAAGTCTATCTCATATTTGCCCATTCCTGCTCAAAGTTTGGTAGAAGACAAGGTAGAAAGAAGAACTTCTTTACCGAAAGGGTTGTTAGACATTGGAACAGGCTGCCCAGGGAAGTGGTGGAGTCACCATCCCTGGAAATCTTTAAAAGACGTTTAGATGTAGAGCTTAGGGATATGGTTTAGTGGGGATTGTTAGCGTTAGGTCAGAGGTTGGACTCGATGATCTTGAGGTCTCTTCCAACCTAGAAATTCTGTGATTCTGTGAAAACTGCAGGTGCTGTGGTTTGGTGTCTGTAAGATCTGTGGCGTACTTCTTCCCCTTGAGAGCAGTTCTCCATAAGTGCTCTAACAGTATGGCCAACAACAATAATTACTGTTAAATTCTGAGTCAGCACCCTACACGCTTATCTCACAAAGACCCATCCTCTGCCATCCAGGTTAAGATCTGGGACATCCCCAAGCACTTGCTAACAAGAAACATCACCAATCCGAAGAAGGAACTTCTTGGGCATGCTCGAAGGGTGGGCCTCATTGAGTGGCATCCTACTGCCGAAAACATCCTCTTCAGCTCCGGCTATGACTACAAGGTGGGTCTGTTTTCTTTGAAGCCCTCCCCTTGGGACTTAGGGTTTGGATTTGTTTTCATTTCAAGCTGTAAGTTAATGATAAAGACTTCAGAAGCCTTCCTGAGGAAGAAATCCCTGAGCAACCCAGAAGGCAGGAGTTCATTGTCATGGGTTTCAAAAAGCCTGGATAATTTTCCAGTCTTCTGATGAACTTCAGTCTGCTCTTCTTTTCCATGGCAATATCAAACGCCATAGATGACCTTTGGCTTCATTCTTGTGCTAATGCCTATATCTGCCATGATGTTAGTCATTTTTCTGTATAAAATGTGATCCTAAAGGAAACGAGAATATCGGAGATTCTGAACAGACCCTATGTCCCTGATATACTTATCTAAGTACCAGGGATTATTTCAAATACTGGAGACTTGCAGCTCATGATAGTAAGATGTACACATGTGGAGAAGAAAGGAAGAAATAAAGAGGGTACACAAAGTCCCCACTTTGTTAGGCAGCAAATGTTTGATTTTTTTTTTTTTGTTCTTTTGCCCAGATAATGATCTGGAACATTGACACGAGGGAGGCTGTCATCTCGAACCCAGTGAAGATCCTCGACGCTCACAAGGATGTGATACTCTCCATGTCATTCAACACAGACGGTAGCCTCCTTGCCACAGCCTGCCGGGACAGAAAGATCCGTGTCATAGAACCTCGTTCAGGAACAGTCCTACAGGTAGGTGGTATTCAGTGGTTTGTGGTCCAGCTGATCTCACCCATGGATTGTTTCCTCTTCTGGGTAGACTCACTGCCATTAGAGAAGACAGATCTGTGCCCAGTGTTGTCTGAGACATCAGAGAGTAGAATTGTCTTCTACTTTTCATGAAAGAATTGCTGCTGTTGACAACAGGTTCTCTGCATATTGCTAAGCTCTTCTCTCCCTAAAACCCTTCCTGAAGTGCACTGCTTTCATAGCTCCCTCCTGCAGTCCTCTAGGGGTACTGCTGTGGGATTCGTTGGGGTGACCAGTAGAGATCAGGTGGCCATGTGGATGCAAGTGTACATTTGTCTGTACTTTGCATTTCTTGATAAGGTGATGCTGACTGCCTTTAGGAGGTATGTGCACACATTTGTGTATTTGTGTACACAGAAAGGTCAACAGTACCACTAATAGGGATTGCCCTCTTGTGAATTGACTGGGTTTTTGGGTGTGGGCTTGAAGAATTTAGGCTGCCTCTCTCAGATGGCTTTGAAATCCTGCTCACTGTAGTTTCAGCCAGGCTGGGGAGATATTTCAGGTGTGACTGACTTCCCCACATGGAAGTTCTGGGCTAAATGTTTTGTTGGGAGGTGCTTTCGTTCTTGGCCTTGCATGGCTTCTGGGGCTTAGAAGTGTCATGTAACGTGAAATGTAGCTGCACAAAGATGGCCTGATGTGCCTTAGCCAGCCCAGATAAGCTTCATGGGCAGGGGAAGGTGGTTTCTTGCCTTGATGTGATTTCTCCTTCCATTTTTTTAATGGAGGAAGGGAAGAGGCTGTCTCTTACTCTTGCAGTGTGTTTTCTCTTCCTAGGAAGCCAGCAACAAGTCTCACAGAGTCAATAAAGTCTTGTTCCTTGGAAACATGAAAAAGCTGCTCTCTACTGGAACATCTCGGTGGAATAATAGGCAAATTGCATTGTGGGATCAAGTGAGTTGAACCAGCAATTGTTACCATAGAATCTTCATTTTTCTTTCTTTTGCTGTCACTTTAACTTTTGCACCTGCCAAATACCCAAGGATTGGTTTATAACAGCAATTCAGAAGTGACTGTCAAGTTCTTAATGGGTGATAAGTTCTATTGTTATGATGCTATTAACTGAGCATAAATTTTGAAGAAGCTCTCAAAGCTTTGCACATAGAAATCCACCAGAGCAAGGATAATGCTGTGCCTACTGCAGAAAAAAAAATAATAAAAAATTCAAGGGACCTTTGGATGGTCCCTGTAGTTCCCAGTTAAAAGTAGCTCTTAGTGCTCTTACTGGCAAAATTGTTACTGGTACTGGAAGATAAATGAATTCTAGGCAAACATACTCCAACAAAGATCTCAAGGAAGGAAAATATGTTGTTGTTTTATGTTTTATTTTTTATATTTTATTTCCAATGATTCCTTACATTAAAGTATTGAGGTGGCACTTGTCAATTCCAAGACATGCTTCTCTATTATGACGGTTGCAAGCCTCATGAAACTCTCCTCTGCCCCCCTAATATGCAGTGAGATGCTTTTCCTCTGTTTGCCATATCACTTTGTCCTCTGTACCAGCTACTTTGCAGCACAGCCTTCTGCCTCTTTCTCTCAGTGTCACCCTTTGTACCAGACGAAGCTGGTAGACCAAGTCTCTGATTTTCCATTTGATTGTGTTTGGACGTGGCTTCTTTGTGTATGGGGGGCAGAGCGCTGTGCTGCCATCCAGAGGCTTTCCACAAAGCTGAGCACAGGGGTAACGCCATGGATTCACATCAGGGTTTCACTGTTCTGTTCTGCACTGCTGGTCTTACTCGAATTGCCCCCTTCAGCAGTGCCGGGTTGGCTTTGTACAGGACGTAGCAGACTTGTGCACGCAGCGGTATGCTGTGTCCAGGCTTAGCTGCAAAAGGCTGATGGGGACTTTTGCCCTTGCAGTGCACATCTTCTCACCGTGCAGTGCTGAGACTTGTCAGCTACTGTAGGCTGTTTTTGTTCTTGTGGTGCATTATCGTCAAGGTATCACCTTAATCAGAGACAGTAAGGGAACCCGAATAATTCGGTATGCAGTGCAGACATGCCCTTCATCCTCCTGAGTCTGGCAGCCCATATGGCCTTCACGTAGAAGCAAGCAGTTTTTTGTATTATATCTACCCCTGAAACATGACCAAGTACCCAGTGATGTCTTGACATGCTGCACTCTGTTGAGAGCTCGCTAGCTTCCCTCCTGTGGAGCTTTGAGGAAGTCTGTATTACTCCAAGGTGGGGTTCAAGTAAGGTGTCCCTGACTTGAGGTGACCCACGGGTGATTCTAGCTGTTTGTTTTTCTTGTGTCCTGCCCAGAATGACCTTTCTGTGCCTTTAGTGGAGGAGGATCTGGATGGCTCCTCGGGGCTCCTGTTTCCCTTCTATGACTCAGACACGAACATGCTTTACGTTGTTGGAAAGGTAAGCGCCTTTTGAGTCAGCAAATGCTGGTCTGATTCTCCTCTTAGCCTGTGTTGTGTCACCAGCATTGTTCAGACCGAAGTCATGGGTGCTCCTAAGGCACATCAGCCTGAGGACTGATGAGGTGGGGTCTGAGGATGCTGCGGTGTCAGGCCATGTTTTCTACTGCGGAAAAGCTGTGTTTGTTGTGGGAAGGCACGCTGCAGATTCCCACACAGCAATTTGGGGGTAAATATTTACATGGGAGGTGCTTATGTTCCTGACCTTGCATGGCTTCTGGGGCCATACATTCTTCTCAGAGCCTCATGCTGGATAGCAGAACCTGGGTCATGTTCATTTCCTTTGTGTTTAGGGTGATGGAAATATACGGTACTATGAGATAAGCCCTGAGAAGCCATATCTGAACTACCTGACGGAATATCATTCTCATTTACCACAGAAAGGAATTGGTGAGTGTCACCGTGTATGTCTAACACCACATTTAGAGGTACAGGGTGTTCCTTGCCCTTTGGAACTCCGCCCCAAGATTTCCAGCATTGAACTCCTGTTGCCAGTGTTTCCCTCCAGTGTACAGCGTCCTGATTTTATTGTCATAACCTTTTTTAAAATCACTTCATGAAACGGAAATGTGACATCACCTGTGACATCATCTGCCAGGTCTGCTCAGTTCTGGTCACTCTATTTCTAGTTCATGAGAAGGAATAATGAACAGGAGGTTCAGCACGAGAACCACAAATCCTGTGTGTAACCATGTGGTCTGACAGAAAAAAAAAGAAAAAAAAAGAAAAAGAAAAAAAAAAGATTGACTTTACTCGTAATTTGTGACACTGAGACAGTTTTGGGTCACAATTTCAGACCACACTGCTGTTGAGTTGGCAGTCCAGCTCCTGTTGTTCAGTGGTCCTTTGTTTGGTGGTCCTTTTTCCATGATGGATGACACTAACTTTCTTCAGGAGATTTATACCTCGTTTCTTTTATGCTATCCCGCCAGGAATGATGCCAAAAAGAGGCCTTGAAGTGTCGGCTTGTGAGATTTTCCGTTTCTACAAACTGATCCCAACTAAAAGCTTGATAGAGCCTGTCTCCATGATTGTGCCCCGACGGGTAAGTGAGCCTCAGGTCATGCCTGTGTCAGGGACAAGTATCAGTGAATAAGAGGGCAGTGCCTCCTCTCTGTGCCTGCTGGGTGGCATGAGAGCTGGTAGAACAAGGGATTTTCTTTTTTCCTGTCTGAGGCACAAAGCTGGTCAGCTAGTAGGGCAGTCCTGCCAACTGTCCTTGGTTGGGTAACTCAGATCTCCATGTAGTGGCCAAATTTCCTGTGCAGGACACACTCAGCAATCTCTGCTCATGTGTCTCGCTGTCAGGTCAACTGGCTGTACACGGCAGTGAGTGCTCTTAGCATACTCCCTGAGCTGACGTGAAACAAGCTTCTTTCTCCACCACATTCCAGTATGATCCTTCTGAAGCAAAACCTTTCTGATGTAGCGACTCTTTTGTTTGCTTGCAGTCGGAGACATACCAGGAAGACATCTACCCCTTGACCACTGGAGCCCAGCCAGCACTGACAGCGCAGGAGTGGCTGAACGGTATTAACAAAGGTCAGCACACGGAGAGCTCCCCAACCCTTCAGCTCCCCAGGGCTTGGGTAAGATGCCGCTGGCCCTCTGGCCTTAGAAATTGGAAAGAGGAAGAGGAGAGATGTAACAAATGTTGCTGTAGACTAAAATAAATTAGTGGCTGAAATGTTCACTGCTGTGAACTCTGGAAAGCTTTCCTGTCAAGTGCTTCCATGTTCATCCCTGCAGGTTTGTTGAAAGAATTGCTTACTGCTGATTTCTGAATGTGGTTTGTGAGTGCTAACCAGTCACCTGCCTCCCTCCCTAGGACCTCTCTTGGTGTCCTTGAGACCAGGCTCTGGAAATGTGGATTCCTTACCACAATATCTCGAGCCTGAGCCACGGCTGAAAACTACTGACCATTACCAAGGCCGGGGAGAAGCAATGGCACCAGCGGAGACGCAGAAGAAAAGTGAAATCCAAGACAGTGGAAAGCAGCTGGAAGTGAGGGAGAGGTTGCCAAAAAAGGACCAAACGCATCTTTCCAATGGCTTTGACGTATTTGAGTGCCCACCACCAAAAACTGAAAATGAGGTATGAAGGCCTGGGTTGAAGGGTTGGGGCTGGGTGAGGTGAGACCCAGAGTCAGCTGGCTAAAAGGTGCCATTCACAATGTGGCAGAATCCAGAGAGGGTTTATTCTGCAGAGCCTGGACCAGTGTGAGGTCTTTGTGGTGACTCGAAAGCCCACAGTCATTGGCGGCTTAGGGACATTTTTGAGTAGATGCAGCTTGTTTTCATTTAGGAGCCCTGGAAGGCTTTTCTTCCTGCAGCCATGCTCAGACACCCATTTTAGCTATGCAAGATTTTAACATCTGCAGCTTGACAGGGTAGGAATTTACAGAGCTGAATTTCCCCGTGGTGTGAAAATGATATTATTCTGTGCATCTCTTAACCTGCCCCCTGAGGTTACAGAAGCAACCCTTTCAGAGCTGGGTGCTCTGCTGCATGCACAGTGAAAGGCCGCGCTCGTCTCACCCACTGAGGAAAGAGCATGATCAGAAGGAAGAAGGATAAGGTCCTAAGGTCAGACAGAGTAGGAGATGTGGCAGATCCAGGAATCTAGAGTCCAAATACTCTCCTCTGTTTCATCAGCATTAGGAAGGCTGTATTTTCTGTTGATTTAAGCAGAAGTAGCATTGCCAAATGTTTCTGAGAAAGAATTATGTTCACAGCCCAAGCTAGCAGGAGACTGCTGATAACCATTTTTTTGGTTGAAAGCCCCCTCCTTAGATGTCATTTTTCTCAGAAATGATGTGGCAGGACTGGTAGCAGTTGACAGGATCAGTCTGTGCTTCGTTAGTGTAAAGGAAGCAAAACGTGTCTTTTCTTCCAGCTTCTGCACATGTTTTACCGACAACAGGAAGAAATACGTAGACTGCGTGAGGTGGTAAACCAGAGAGATGTCCAAATTAAACAGATGGAGCTGGAGCTCAGAAACCTCCACATGGTCATTGGCATGTACTGAGGGTGCTGGCCTTGCAGCTCTTTGCACCTCCACAGCCGCAGCAGACTCCACTTCCTACAGAGAACTTCTAGATTTTTTGTCTGGGGGAAAAACTGATGCTTCAGGCAGCATGGACTTTCTTGGCTTGTGATGGTCACATTTTCCCATTCGACACCACACAGTTATTGATGGACTTGATGAGCTTCTTCAGAGTCCTCTTGCTTGTCACTCACTCATGTCAGAAGATCATGCACTAATGGTAGTAAGACTTTGGAAAATCTTGCTCTTCTCATCCTGGAGGAACCACCTGTCAAGCTCTAGGACCACAACCTGTTTTGCTGCCCCTACGACATGAGGATGGGAGAGTGAAGGCAGCTGCTGGCTTCTTTTCCCACCCCCAGACACAACAGCGTGGCTCCCGTGACTGCTGTCCTCCTGCCCTGGGAGACAGCTCTGCAGCTGACTCCAAAGCAATCCTTACGGCCCTCTCTTGCCTCACAACTTGGCCCTGCAGCTTGTGGCTTGCCAAAGCTGCAGCTACCTTGACCTGGTGCTGGGGATAATCCTGCTCGATGCAGGAGGTTGCACTGGGGCTGCCAAGGGCCAGCACTTCGGTGATACGTGAAGGAGGATTGTCTGTTTGGAGTTCCCACTCTAAAGGGGCAATGATGCGGGCTGTTTCCCACCAGAGAAGCTGCAGGTCTCTGGGCCCTTTCAGCCAGTGGCTTCTTCCCCTCCTTCTACCAAAGACGCCCAGCCTGCTGCATACCCTTCAGCAACAGCGCTGGAAGTGCAGTCTCGATGACGGGTGGATCATGGGATCATGGCCAGCCACAAACAGCCTTTCCTGATTGATGAGTTGTTGCATGTCCTTGTGCCCACAGCTGCTGCTTCCTTAGCTCCCAGGTGCCAGCACCTCGTCCCGTGTCTGCAGACACCTGTGGCTCTGCGCTCCCCCTTCCAGACTGTGCTGCTCCGTCCCCTGCACCTCTCTCTTTCACCTTGGGCAAGACCAGCTGCAGGCTGCAGGTCCCATCCTCGGTTTCAGAGCTGGCACCTGCGAACACATTTATGCAGGCTGTCCCCGTTGTGCAGAGCTGGGTAAGCAGCTGCACAGAGGAAGAGCATGGACACCCCCGTGCCTTGCTGGTGTCTGGGGGTCTCCTCTCATTTACTCCTGAGGGCTGCGGGCTGATGGGGCAGATTATGAAGAGAACATGCTGTCAGCAGCCGCGGGGTCTGAGTGCAGCAGCAGCTCCCGAGGGGGGAATGATTCTCCTTGCCCCAAATGCAGAGCTGAGGCAGACATCCTTGTCCCAGACAGAACAAGCAAATACTGTTTAATCTGTAACTGTGCACATCTGTTGTGGCACATACAGGAGTGAATAGTATTGCCTGCTGGTTCCCTGAAGCCTGATTTTTTTTTTTTTTTTTTTTTTTTTTTTCCGAAGTTAAAAATAAAAAATCTGTATAATCAGAAGTTCCTGCAAACATAACTCCCCCTATGAAGGGGATTAAAGGCTGTGCACTGCCTGTGCTCATGTGAGATGCTCTTCTGGCTACCACTGAAAGCAGTAGTCAGGAGGGAACTCATGGGCACTAAATGCTCACATATCAGAATCATACAAAGACTTTGGCATCTCATTTTCTCCACAGCAAAATCTTTACCCAGCTTTCAAAAATATTTAATTCATTTCTAACACAGCAGCAACAGATGTGGGTGCTAAAACATCGTCAACATTTTTTGTCTCTGAAACATTACAGAGGGGATAGATGTTATTTTTCTTTCAGGAAAAGCCCTTTAGCATCGGTCACTTATTTAACACTACTCTTTTTGTAAAAAAAATAAATATATATATATATATATTTGCAACAACATTGTTGAACCAACTTCAGCTCATTTCAAGTCTTCTAGAGTGGACTTTCCTGCACCCTGTGCACACTCTGCAGCATGCAGATGTATGCGAAAACAGCTCACCCCAGACACAGCTTTAAATCCAACATGAATCTTACCCTAGAAGCGATCAGGCTTTTTCTCACCAAAGAGATCAGCTAGATAAGAAATCTCGTAGCTCACAGTTTTTCAGCCATGTCAAGCAGGCCTGACAGCTTCGGACTTCAAAGCCATTTTCACCGAGTTTAGTCCAGGAATACGACACTGTTTTTCAAGCTATTGCCATAGCAGGTATGAAGAAGTGCTTGACACAACCCCAGCACTCCATGTGATATGACACTTTCCCTGCCACCATGTTGGGTTTTGTTCGCTGGAAATTTTTTGCTTATTTTTCATACAGAATAAATTATTTAAATTATTTCCAAGTTAGAGTAATTTTTTTTTTCAGGGGACTTTAATGTCCCCTTGAGGACTGCTTTATTGTCATGCTATATCTGGATAGCATAAAAATTGGTCAGCCACTATGGTTCTTATCTTAGGGTTGTGTTGATTTCAGCATTTCTGGAAAAGGAGTAGCTTTCATTTAGGCTTTGCTGGAGACCTTTGATAAGGCAAGACTACTTAATCAAACCTTGTTTTTTAGACAGGATGCCCATAAAAGTGTAGACTGTGAAATGTGTTTCAATTTGGAGCTCAAATGCAACCATAAATTTTTCAGAGAGAAATAAGTGGAAGAAATATAGTTGCGTTTTAATGAACTGTGCCTAAATTGACTTACATGATCATTTTAACAGTTTCTAAAACTCCTAACAGCTTTTTTTAAAAAAAAAGTAAAACATGGGGATAAAGAAAAAAAATTGTGCAATGAAAAGCAAATGTAACTGAATAATAAATATATTTAGAATTTTTAATACAAGGTTGTTGGCTTCTCATTGTCAGGAAGGAGTATCACCTGCTGTCTCGTTCGCTTGTGTGAAGGCAGGGCCTTATGTTAGCAGGCAGGCTGCACCCAGCCGTATGCACACAGCTCTGTTGTTGTCTATCTTTCCCATCTGCCCCTGATGCTACAAGAGGGTGGCCATTTCAAAGGGTTCTGCATTACATAGCTCTGTGCGTCGTTTTGAGTAAACCATGTCCCCAAGCACCACGTCCAGCCTCTCCTTGAACACCCCCAGGGATGGTGACTCCACCACCTCCCTGGGCAACCCGTCCCAGTGCCTGATTGCTCTTTCTGAGAATAAATGTCTCCTCACTGCCAACCTGAACCTCCCCTGGCACAACTTGAGGCCATTCCTTCTAGTTCTATCACTGGTTATCTGTGAGAAGAAGCCAACCCCCAGCTCCTCACATTTTGGTTACTGTCAACCTTCTGGAATATCTTCACTGCTGTCGTAGTCCTATTTCACAACCTGTCTGTAGCAGCTTATGTGTGCCATAGTTAACAAACACTTCATGTAGGCACGAATCAAGACATCTGCAGTCCCTTAGGTCTGGTTCCTTATGTAGCCCACGTACCTATGGGGAATGCAGCTGTCTGGAGACATGAGGGGACAATTGCCCCCTACCCAACTGGCAGCTCCAGGGCTGGGCAACCTTTCCCAGAACCTTGGACAGATGGACAGTTGCAGAGCCATTAGCCTTCACGACAGGTTTTGAAACCTAAAAGGAGAATCCATTTAAAAAAATAGAAAATCTTTCTGAAAAGATTTGCACTCATTAGTTCTGGGTAACTAGACAAAAGTCTTTGGACCAAGTCCCAAAGGAGTCTTTGGTTTTCTCAGGGGAGATCTTGGGCCTCTGCAGTGGCATGAGGAAGGTGGGAAATTGAGGACAGCTGCCAGGCAAAGCGTTGTGTGTACACCAGAGCAGGTTGTGAGGCTCCTCTCCAAACAACACGGATGCAGGAATTATGGCTCTCACCCACGTCCTATGAGCCACCTCTCCGATATCTGTTTTCCCCAGCCTGTCACGGTGGGACTTTGGTCAACCTACCCAGTGCAGCAATGCAAGTCGTGACATACCCAGGAATTCTGCCCTTTGAAGACACCCCAAAGGCAGCCCCTTCACCATGGGCCATGCCTTCCTGAATCCTGCCCTTGCCTGTGATTGCACATGGAGGCCAGTGATGCAAGAGTTAGAGTGTGAAATCCCCCTTATATACCATTGCAGTGGGGGGCATGGGAGTCATTTTAGGTGACTAAAGCTGCAGGTGCAATTTAATTGGATGTATACATGTAGTATTTCACAGATTTAGTACAAGTCCACGAGTGCACATCTACTTTAAAACTTCTGGTCAGTTATTAGAAACCTTTATGTATGTTGACTGCTTGATCTAGTCTTTGATCTTATAATCAATACATTCTCTGGTCCAAAAGCACAAGACCTTTAATTAAAAAAAATAATTAAAAATACCTTTACTAACACCTATCAGTGCCTTCAGCTGAAATTGAATGCCAAGCTCTTTTCACATGAGTGAAACTGTTCTCCTCTGCATTCAAACCATTCCTCTTGGCACCAGGCAGGTCTGAGTGCTGCTGGAAAAGCAAGGTGAGATACCTACACATAACCTCCTGCTGCTGGAAAAGGGAGCTCTGTCCCTCTTCAAACAGGACAGATCCAGGGGAGGTGTGTCTCAAAAAATGGTGAGGCACCAAAGGGCTCATTGACTTGTGACCCTCACTGACTGGCCTGACAGCACCTTGGGCTCTGAAAATGGTGCCAGTGAGGTTGCAGCAAGGGCAAAAAACAGAGATGGGTCACACTGTGCTTTGAAGTAATGGCCCTATGTAGCAAGGACAGGGCTGCAGGACACTTCTGCTCCCAGACCAATGGAAGTTTGCTGTTAAGCAGGGTAGAGGGCCAAGAAAGTGTTGCTGGGGCCACAGCCAGCCCGGGGCCAGGTGTGCATCACCCCTACGTGGCACCCCTGGCCACACATTTCCAGGTGCCCCCTGGTGCCTCCTGGCCAGAGTCACAATGAGGATGGCCACAGTCACAATAGGGGTGGCCACAACGAAGGTTGTGCTGGTGCTGCTGCAGTCCGTGACAGCCTGAAGCTCCCTGCAGCTGCCAGCAGGATGATACATGGCCAGAAGTTGAAGTCAGGCCTTGCTGCGGGCAGCACAGACAGGACTCTGCCCCTGCAGCCCCCCAGGCAGGAGAGGCATGGGCTGCACACGTTAGCTCAGTGCCCGGCACCTCCCCTGCTGCGTGCTGCTGACCACTGCACCATGGAGCTGGTCACGCAGCACAAGAGGAGAGCAGCTGCCCAGGACGTGTGAGTGGTGCTGCCACTACACTGCTGGGCATGGGGGCTGCTGCCCGGCAGCTGCAGCACCTCATGGCTCTCTCGTATCCTCAGGCATGACACGTTCTCCCGGATCTTCAACCGGGAAAGAGAGCCATACAACGTCTTCAGGGTTGAGAGACAGCGGCCAGAGCCACCAGGGAGGCTCCTGGAGCTGCGACACACCCCCCACCCTCGTCACATCCAGAGAATCGATGGCATTGCGCTGGGGGGTACACAGCATTTGTTTGTGGTGCAGACAAAAGGCAGCGAGTCGGAGGAGGTAGGAAGTGCTGCCTCCCTTGGCTGTGGGCAAGCAAGGACTGTGGGGATGAAGATTGTGGTGGGGATGCTTTTTTTGCATTCAGGAGCCATCTGCACTGTGACAGCACCACAGCAGCTCAGATGTCAGCAGAGGAGTGGTGTTTGATAGCTTCCTCTTCACCTTTGCAGGCTTGCTGGTGGGAGTGGTCAGGGAGCAACCATCTCCCAGAGCGCTGCAGGAGGACAGTCTGTAAGTGAGCACGCCCCAAAGCCCTGCCGAGACCACTTTGCCACCTTGGGGAGGCAAGTCTGTTTGGGGAGCAGAGGCCCATGGCCTCCTGGGCCAGCTGAAGACCCGGCCCCACTGGGGACACCACCATGGTGAGGTCCTTGGGCTCGTGGCCAGCCTGCCTCCTGGTGTCTGGATGCTTGGCCTCTACTCAGGCAACACTCACCATATCGCCACAGCACCTCCTGTGTGGCAAGCAGACCTGCATGACCATGCTTGCTGAGCAGGAGCTTGGGCTGAGACAAGGCTGCACAATGGACATGGTGGCACCTCACACGTCTTCCTTTCTGCTTTTCCCAGGGCCTGAGGAAACCTCCATGGAGGCCATCAGTTTTCCCAGGCAATCTGCGAACATCTGTTGCAGACACCTTCCATTGGAAGAGGCATGGCGAACTGAAAGGCAAGGAGCTCAGTGAATTAACCAACTCTGGCCTAAATGGATCTATTTTTTTTCAGTCAGGGAACTGGTCTCTGTAACATTTGCCATCCTTCTTTTGTTTCCCATCCTGTGTGCCTACCATTGGTGTAGAGGAGCTGTAAGTAGAGATGAGCAGAGATGATACTCGGTCACTGTGATAAATGAAGTCTGAACTCTGAATTTAGTAACATAAAAGAATATTTATAAAAGGCAAGTAAACAGCACAGGGTGCGCAGGGAGTCTCTGCTCTACCAACACGCACACACAAACATCAAACATTCTAAATATACAGAACATTGCTTTACATACTAAACACAAGTATGCCTATACATACGTACAATCAGAAAAGGTAACAAACAATCCTCTAAGTTCCATGACTTACTAAACTCGAGTACACATACACATATGTACAATCAGAAAAGGTAACAAACAATCCTCCAAGTTCCACAATTCGTCTCCATTTTCCACTCCTCTTCTTGATTACATACATGTCTCCATTTTCCATTCCCTTTGAATAATATGTCTCGCTTTAAGTTGTCAAGCAACTCGGTCTTCAGGCCTTATGTATCCCGTTCTTCCCGGATCGAAGAAAAGCATATCCATCTCTTTTTCAAGGCCAATAGGGCCTGGGTCAAAAGGCACGTCCAGGTCAGCAGGGGGTGGAACAGCAAAAGCCTTCGATGGCTGTAGCAGCAGAGGGGCCCATGGCGTAGCAGTTGGATCAGTAAAGGAGCCCGCAGCTCCCTCACTATTTGGCAAACCACACGTGTCTGACTGTGGGCCCACAGGGCTTGTTAAGGCCTCAGAGGCTGCTCGCCAGGTGCCGAGCAATCCCGCTGCAACCTTGCCATTTTTAGTTGCAGAGTCCCACACCTTGACCTCAGTTTGGTCCCGTATTTCAGGCTCATAAACTGTCCGATTGTTAATAAGGAGGATAAGCTGTAAGGTTACCAGGACAGTCTTTGTTCCTAAGGACGTATGATTCCCCATAACGTGCATCTGCTGACCAGTGAGAGGCCGTTGTGTGCATGGCTCCGCTTCTCTCAGCTTGAGCTTCTCTCCAGCTCCAGCGTGCCATTTCCAGCGACTTTCTGTACGAGCTTCTCTGAGCAGTTTGCTGAGTCTGGCCGAACCTATCTTCATGAGGCAATCAATGTGCCTGTTCCCG